TACTGCTATGCTAAACACTGTAGCTGTTAAAATCACGTACAGTAGTTATGCAGAATTTTTAAAAATTGCCAACCATAAGCGTAGTTTTCTGATGCAATGCTGTGCCTTAATTTCAAGCTAATCTGTTTATTGAAGATGTTTATTGAAGATGTGTGATATAGTGGAGTTATAGGCCTATGTCTTTTAGTGGTTAAATAGTTAGGCGTATTTCCTTGTTATAAATCATTTTTTGCAGTGTTGCCGTGACAATTAAAACAAGTGAGAAAAGTTGGTGTGTTAATTTTAATTAAGTTTTAAAGGAGGGCTATTGTTCAGTTAAGTATCGTTTTATTCTGGCCCTTACAGCCGCTGGTTGATACAGCGTTGTAGGCTTAGAGTCAATCGACCTTGGAGCAATAAAAAGGTTGGGTGATAATTAATGCTGAGATCTTACATCAGATCAATAGAATAATGTGTGCTTTATATTTGAGCACAGTATGTGTAGCGTTAGAGTGAGTGGTCTATGTGATAGGATAGTGAGTGGACTATGTAATAGGACAGTGAGTGGCCTCTGTAGTAGAACAGTGGGTGGCCTATATAATCGGACATTGAGTTGTCTATGTAATTGGACAGTGGGTGGCCTATGTAATAGGACAGTGAGTGGTCTATGTAATATGACTGTGAGTGGTCTATGTAATAGGACAGTGAATTGCCTATGTAATAGGACAGTGAGTGGTCTATGTAATATGACTGTGAGTGGTCTATGTAATAGGACAGTGAGTGGCCTCTGTAGTAGGACAGTGAGTGGCCTCTGTAGTAGAACAGTGGGTGGCCTATATAATCGGACATTGAGTTGTCTATGTAATTGGACAGTGGGTGGCCTATGTATTATGACAGTGAGTGACCTATGTAATCGAACAGTGGGTGGTCTATGTAATATGACAGTAAGCGGTTTAGCAATATGACTGTGAGTTGTCTATGTAATAGGACAGTGAGTGGTATATATAATAGGACAGTGAATTGCCTATGTAATAGGACAGTGAGTGGTCTATGTAATATGACTGTGAATGGTCTATGTAATAGGACAGTGAATTGCCTATGTAATAGGACAGTGAGTGGTCTATGTAATATGACTGTGAATGGTCTATGTAATTGGACAGTGGGTGGCCTATGTAATTGGACAGTGGGTGGCCTCTGTAGTAGGACAGTGAGTGGTCTCTGTAGTAGGACAGTGAGTGGCCTCTGTAGTAGGACAGTGAGTGGCCTCTGTAGTAGGACAGTGAGTGGCCTCTGTAGTAGGACAGTGAGTGGCCTCTGTAGTAGGACAGTGAGTGGCCTCTGTAGTAGGACAGTGAGTGGCCTCTGTAGTAGGACAGTGATTGGCCTCTGTAGTAGGACAGTGGGTGGTCTATGTAATATGCAGTGAGTGGCCTATGTAATATGACAGTAAGCGGTCTAGCAATATGACTGTGAGTGGTCTATAAAATAGGACAGTGAGTGGTCTATAAAATAGGACAGTGAATTGCCTATGTAATATGACTGTGATTTGTCTATGTAATTGGACAGTGAGTGGTCTATGTAATAGGACAGTGGGTGCACAGTGCAATCATACCCATGCTTTATGTCAGAGTCACCACTATAGTTTGTTTCCATGTAATCTTGCCATCCATCCCCGAGTCCCACATCTCATGTACTGACCAGCATGTCCAGTTCTTATCCTTCTTTATACCCCACTTACCCATTTTGTTGTAGCGTCGTCACTGTCACCAACCAATCTTCACACACTCTCAATTGTATACCAGAATACTACCCTCTTGTCATAGTTAGTATGTTAATTAGTGTCTGTTTGGTCTTAAAAACTCTATACCTACCTCAAAGCTGCTATTATTATTAAGATAACTATAAGGTGCAGTGTCACCATAACTACTCATTCTTTCATAAAACACCGTAGTTAAAGAAGTTTATTGCGAAACCAGGATAGTAGGTTTTGACCTGTTTTCTGGTTGCCTTGACGACCTGGGAGGGTGTGATCGAATATAGCTTAGAAGATCACACGTGACATTAATGTCTACATCTATACACGTCTCGAGAGTTGTTTTTTTTTCAAACTAAGGTTTTTATTTTATGCTAATTATTTTAATTATTTTAAACAATTTATAGGCCTAAAAAAGATTGCAAAATAACATTATTCTTAAAAAAAAGTATGTAGATCTAGCTTATATTACAGTAGCCTTTTTAAAAAACTTGGATGCTTTTTTAACATCAACACTACTAAGTTCATAATTTAGATGAATATAACTGTAACTGTTAGTTTTTAGGTTTTAATTGAGGTGATACAATGAACGACAACAGCTTGAACGTGGTAAACCATTTACATTGTTAGGTAGACAGTCAACACTGTCAAATAACATGCCGACGTTTAATACGAGATGGTCACACAGAACAATGCTTATTTAAAGAGAATAAATTGTCGAACCGTCAATCTAAACAAAGCGAGAATACTTGATGTTGTTACAAAAAAAATGTAAGTTATTACAGGATAGTTACAACTGCATTGCAAACTTTCTTTCGACTCGGTCCGATATCACAAGGCCGACTAATATCGGTGCACTTTAGAAATCTATGTTTAGATCATTGGGAATTCCCTAACCTAATACGATGAATCGAAACAAAAAGAACTTACCTCGGGTTTTATAAGGCGTATTGGGAGGGGAGGGGGGGGGGGGGGGCGGATGGATTGAAAATGTGTAGCTTGGCGCTTTATTTTTATTTTTATATACTCACAATGTCGTAAATAGTTGAATTTAAACAAAATTATAAATGAAGTTAAACGTACAGGTGGGTGAAAGTCGAACATTTTTTATGTGGTTATGGGGAGGGGGAGCGGTGGGTCGGGCTTTTGGTTTATTGTAAAGGAAGAAGTGTCACTATAGGGGGGGGGGGGTTACAATCGGTTTAAAACGCGAGGTGTTATCTATAAAAACAATGCTATAGAACTATAACTCTAATTCATAATCGTTGAGGAAATAAACTAGCTATCAAAAATGTGTACAGGATAATAATGTAATTTTCTTGTGTTAGAATACTATACACAGTACTTTTCTCTCCCCCGACTCCATGATAATCATCTCATCAACTGAAAGTTTACAGAACAAACGTGTGCATCTTAAATCCTTCATTAGGAGAAACATTTTACTGAAGTCATTCGCACCCATGTAATCATATAATTTAATGTGTATATATATATATATATATATATATATATATATATATATATATATATATATATATATATATATATATATATATATACACTTATTGAGAACGCTAAAATTTAGAAGAGTTCTGTTAGATCCGAACCCATATCTTCCAGCGCCAGTCGTTCGACCGTATTTGATCCTACACCTTATTTCCAGCGCCGATGTACCGTGCCTCTTTATGCTGGTGGCGGCGACACTGTTTTGATCGAGCCATCAATCAGATCGATACTTTGATCTAATGCTTGTTTGGACCAGCATGATTAAGGAGGATCGATATTTCTCCTAATGATAGGTATCGCAGGTCAACATGTCATCACCGCTAACTACAAGCTTCCGTTTAGGTCCGGTCAAATCAAAGACAGCCTCCGTGTGATTGCTCGTTGATTATGCTAATTTATGACGTTCGCTAACTGATAATCAGAACTTTGATGTTTTATGTTTTAAGTCATGTGAGTTTTGATGAGAGGTGTATTTGTATTTTTGTGTATCGTGGGAGTAAATTGAATTTTTGATCATGACGTCCCAAGTTAAAGTTAGAATGGCATTGATTTCAATAGCTCGCATTTGTCGTCTTATCAACAGCCAATTGTGGCTCATTATATATGCATGGACAGGTTTTAAAGATTTAAAAAAAAAAAAAACGTTTTTATAACGTTTTTATAAATGCAATACAAAAAAGAATTTTAAAAAAAATTGTATTTAAACATATAATTATGCACTGCTATTTAGAAATAGCAGTGCTGTAAAGAAAAGCTTTTAGTAAAGGTATTCAATATACAATATAATGAATCTCGCTTTTCTTAGTAGTTATTTAAATAGTTAAGAATTATTATAAATTTATAATATATTGATTGTTTTTTCCATCTTTTAATAGCATACATGCATGCATACATACGATCTTATTATAAAAGTTTTTAGTGCCACAATTTTATTTTATACTTTTTAATTTAAGTAGAAAAATTCAAAATCCTCGCGGACCAAAATATACGCGATACGATCGGTACTTTAGTTAGCAATATTTAATTAATTTATGTCACATGGTCTTAACCAACGTGTCAAGTTTGAAACAAATTGGTACGGTAGAAGTGGTAGCAATTTCGCTCGCAAGTTTCGACACTTGAAGAAGCATTTATAAATAGAAAGAAAAAACGACAGTGAGAAATAAAGTGAAATAAAATCTTGTAATAAATGGCAGGGATATTAATGAGATTGCTAATTTCTATTTTACAACCGCAAAGTTCAATCGGAGCAAGTCTAGTACCCACTCACCTTGACCTCTACCAGGTACAGGCACGCGAAAAGTACAGACTGTTGCCACCTGTTTACAAAAAGTCACATGACTCCCGTCTCCTATGGCAACTAGTAATACTAGTAATACTCGCTACCTAGTACATATGTGTGCAGTCAGCTGATACAATAATTATAATGCGTACCGATTGTTTGCATGATAGGAATGGTATGATATTATTGGTTGCTATGTGAGCCCATGCAATTTAGACAGTTTGAACTCTCAATTTGAGAACCACTGAAATTCAGGGTTAAAAAAACACAACACTACTATCAACTCATGCATGACAATTAAGCCTTTCTTCTCTTCTTCAACAGCAGACCAGAAAGTCTTAGAAGACAAGAGGAAAGCAAGACCAGACCAGCAAAGGTCGTAACTCTGCTGTCAGCAGGCCTGGTGGGGATGCCAGCAGCACACCGGAGTGTGACACACTGAGGACACGGATGGTAGGGGTGGGGATGCCAGCAGCACACCGGAGTGTGACACACTGAGGACACGGATGGTAGGGGTGGCGGCCTACACGCTCCCAGCCCGGAGAATGTCAAAGTGTAACCGATATCTCGGGTGTCACAGGCCTGTCACTCGCCGGCTGACATGTGACTGGCACTTGTTCTTTTGAGCGGAACCAGGAATTTTTGTGTTTGTTTGTTGGGGGACGGTGAAGTTCATCCAATGCTCTGCTACTGTGTTTGTTTAAAGTCGCGAGACACCGAAGTTGATGTGCTACTGATGTTGTGTTTGTTGAAATTTGCGAGACAAGGAATTTGATCTACTACTGACGTCGTTTGTTTAAAGTTGCGAGACACCGAAGTTGGTCTGCAACTGAGGTTGTGTTTGTTGAAATTTGCGAGACAAGGAATTTGATCTGCTACTGATGTTGTTTGTTTAAAGTTGTAGACACGGAAGTTATTATGCTACTGATATCGTGCTTGTTGAAATGTGCGAGACACGGAATATGATCCGCTGTTGAAGTTGTGCTTTTTAAAATATGCGAGACACAGAAGTTATATGCTACTAATACTGTTTGCTGAAATTTCGAGACAAGCAATTTGATCTGCTACTGATGGTGTTTGCTGTGTTCTTGATATGGAAAGCTCCTGGATTAACTTGTGGCGACATGGATAGTTGATTGTAACCAGGCTCTCCGCACCTGCTGGTACAGAAAGGATTTTTATCAACAAGGACTAAATGCACGCTGGAACTCGCGTCTTACTATGGTGAGTAGCATTATAATTAACCCTAGTCTAAAATTCTAATTAATCCTGATCCAGAGTGCTAATTAACCCGGGCTTAGGTCATATTATTGAAAAAATAATGTATAATGACTTTTCCGCCAGACTCCACTTATCCAATATATTTGTATACCCCTATAGAGACACTGTTTACAATTTGACTACATTGTGACATCTAATATTTTCTTATAACTGGGTGTCACCATGTGATGAAAAGTATATGGAAAAGTTTGTATCTGAGTGGTATAACAATAGGTCCAAAGATCGAAACAGTGAAAGATGGCTTTAGTGTTATTCATATGGGATAAAATATCGTCACAAAGTGATCAATATTGAATTTAAAAAAATGTATACAGTCTGATTAATATGTGATTAAAGATTGTCCCAGTATGATAACAGTGATCAAGGGGTAGCACCATAATAAACCGTCACCACTTTTAGTGTTGAGCGTCAGATGATTTAGGTCATGCCTAAAAAATGTTATTAATGAACGTTATAGTATCCATTACATGTGTAGATAGCTAGAGCGGACCCACACAACAGAACTCCCCCACACCCCATCACCAGCATGTGTGTGTGTGTGTGTGTGTGTGTGTGTGTGACAGCACCCAGGCGTGTGACAGACCTGAATTTATCGTGTTAATAATACATGATGTTGACTGATCTGCTATGTTAAACGTTGAGTGATCCGAATGACACATTTCTTCTCGCTAACCGCATTCATTTTTTTCTCTCTTTATATTGGTTCATTGTTTGTTGCTGTCTGTTTAAACTGTTAGAAATGTTCATTACATTTTCTTTTCTTTTTTTAAACCTGATGTTAATAACTTAGGGACTTGTTAACCAAAGATGTTGTTTTTTTTATGTCAGAAGATCTGATTTTAAAATTTTATTATACATGTCAATTACATTACCATTTTTATGTCAAAACGCGTTGAGCCCTACACCTTGGAGAGGTAAAGATTTATTTACATAATTAATTTCAGCACTTAATTAAATCTATAAATAATTAATACCTCGATAATGAAAAATACATTTCTACACCACATCTGCTCCCACATCATCACCTTATTCTATAGTTAGTGAGTCTGTTGGGTCAATCTAGACTTTTCTTATAATCGGCCTCAGAGCCACATGTATCAAACCTCTGGATCTTTATGAGGAGAGCAGGACATTAACCCCCCCCCCCGGTCAATTACTCTCCCCTGCTATTAGCGCCCCACCCCTTATGAATTACCACCCCCGGTCCTGTCAATTTCCCCCCCCCCCTCCATATATATACCCCCGGCCAAAAAAAATCTAAAGTTGGATATTATCCCTGTTAACTAATTGACCCTAAACTTAATGGGGGAAAGGGATAAGGTAATAAATAGGATAGGGTAAGGGATATGCTAGAAATTAAAGCTTACTCAGCACTTTGCTAATTAACAAGTTTCGGTTCCTTAAATGATTACTAGAGCTAGCACGAAATAAGATTTATCTTTAACTCTCCACCTATATCGGGCACTCAAGGCAATGTATAGAATGCCCATGCATTTTATGAAATGACAAATTTCACACTTTACGGATATGTATAATGTTTCAATAGTGTGGATAATTGACGGAGAGGTTTTTTTTTTCGGGGGGGGGGGGGGAGGTAGTGTCCGAGACCCATCTATGTGATGTGATAGTGAACATCTGTTTCAATAAAGATGTGTTACTTTATATGCACAAAACCGACTATTGAGACAATTCATTCTCATAACTGTCGACAGTCAATGTTTACTAAACTTTTTTGGGTGTAGAAAATTATTCAAACTTTACTAAATTTGGCCAGTCAATGTTTACTAAACTTTATAGTGTGTAGACAATGATTCAATTTTTTCTTCTCCAGAACCTGTGGCCTATCAAAATGACACGACGAAAACAAAACGCACCAAAGAGGCTGAAGAGTAAGTACATTACAATTTATACATCAGTTTTTAGATATCCTCAATTCCACACAGTCAACGTCTTAGATCTACCAATTTTCAGCCTATTGTTTTAACAACATTTTTTTTAAAGACAATGCTGTTAAACCTGCATTAAATGACAAATTTAAGAAAAATGTAGCCATTTCCAACACTAACACACAGTTTCTTTCTAGAGAAATTCATTAGATTAATTATTTCTACTGCTGCTACATAAAACAACAGTAATCCCAACAAATCAACCAGGAGCCACTGCATCTAAAAGACTCTTAATTAGCTATTTTTTAATTTTTTTAACTTATTAAAATATTAAGATGTTATAACTTTTTTACGCCAATGGTATTAAGTTTGTAAAAAGAAACACTTTACCAGGCTATCCTTTATCTGAGAATTTTATTTTAAAGAAAGGTATAGGCCTACCTTTGATTAAGGCCTGTAGTGTAAAAATACAATGGGTGTGTAAATTGGATAAGCGCATCTACCTTAACTCCACCTATTCGTTCTACGGTGCTCTTCTATAAATCTAAATAATCATTTATTTAAACATTCGATATAATTAAAGCCGTATTTGTAATGTTTAAAAGCTAATCGTACAACATATTTTTCTTATTCTGCTCGATGAATTTTATTTTGTATTTTAAAAATTGAAACGTTCACAATCACTGTTTCCGTTTATTCAAATGCTGGATAACAATTGCATTGTTCATAATTAGATGTAGATCTATACCATAATTTGAAATTTTGCTGATATACTCTGTTGCTTATTTCGTTTAAAAGCTTGATAATATTGTTTTGATCCGGAGTTTACCCACACCTCTGTGATCTGATTATTGTAGTACATAACCCCCCCCCCCCCCCCCCCACCCGCTAACACACACCACTCGCCACCCTGTTCTGGCTAGTTTATATTTCCCTTCAGCCCCATCTTTTTAACTCTATAACACGGTTGGTTGGTTTCGACCACAATAATTCTTAAAGCAATCTTTACGTCGTCCATTTTTGTCTAACAGAACATTGAAAAAAGCTCTGGTTTCAGCCAGTGTTCTTTATTCCAATGTGACCGGTGGCGTAGAACAATGGAATACGATATAATTTAAGAGCGTGGGCTTAACTTAATGTATGATATAGAACAATGAAATACCATATAACCCGAGTCAGTGCTCTACCGAGAACTGGTGTCATGACCAGTCTCAATTTACCAGAAGCGCGGTGAATTATAAATAGCAGACGTGTGGAGCGGCCCGGCCATGAAATCCTTATCACGCTTGTTAGTGGCGGGAAACTGCAGACGGTGGCAGATAGCACGAGAAACCTGTCAATCACGTGATGACAAGCTGCCACACCACAGCCGGAGCTGGTGTCAGCTGATACCATACCATGGTCTTTTACTACACCACTACCCCTGGTCTTCACCTGACACCACCACCCCTGCTCTTCACCTGACACCACCACCTGACATCACCACCCCTGCTCTTCATCTGACACCACCACCCCTGCTCTTCACCTGACACCACCACCCCTGCTCTTCACCTGACACCACCACCTGACATCACCACCCCTGCTCTTCATCTGACACCACCACCCCTGCTCTTCACCCGACACCACCATCCCTGGTCTTCACCTGACACCACCACCCCTGCTCTTCACCTGAAACCACCACCCCTGGTCTTCACCTGACACCACCACCCCTGGTCTTCACCTGAAACCACCACCCCTGGTCTTCACCTGACACCACCACCCCTGGTCTTTTGCTACACCACCACCTCTGGTCTCCAGCTGATACCCCCCTCCCCCTGGTCTTCACCTGACACCACCACCCCTGGTCTTCATCTGACACCACCACCTGACATCACCACCCCTGCTCTTCATCTGACACCACCACCCCTGGTCTTTTGCTACACCACCACCTCTGGTCTCCAGCTGATACCCCCCTCCCCCTGGTCTTCACCTGACACCACCACCCCTGCTCTTCATCTGACACCACCACCCCTGCCCTTCACCTGACACCACCACCCCTGCTCTTCATCTGACACCACCACCCCTGCCCTTCACCTGACACCAGCACCCCTGATCTTCAATGACACTACCATCCCTGCTCTTCATATGACACCACCACCCCTGGTCTTCATCTGACAACACCCCCCCCCCTTCCCTCTTCCTAGTCAGAGTTAAAATGTTTCTTTTTTCTCGGGATGGACTGTAGAATTGTGACAATCGTGTCTTATGTTAAAGTCAGTGTTGATGGTATACACTATACACCAATGGTCTTTAAAAAGTCAGTGTTGATGGCATACACCAATGGTCTTTAAAAAGTCAGTGTTGATGGCATACACCAATGTTTAAATAAGGGTTTATAGTATACACTTCTATACACCATTGTTTTGTTTTTTGTTGTTTTTTTTGGGGGGGGGGGGGTTAACAGTGGTTTTTATAACACATGAAGATAATGTAGGGTCACTCTAAACACCAGCGATGCTAATACATACAATTGCATCTTGTATTTTGAGGAAAAAGTTTGGCTTTGTTAATTAACTACACTTTAAAACACACCGTTCCCGCATCCCTCAAAAACTTCTGAAACGTCAGTGAACACGGACAAAGATCTTGGTGTAGGTAGCCATTTACTACTAACATAACCTTTTTAAAAGTCTTATGAACCTTAGCATTTTTTTAAGTACACTAAAGAAACAAAGTACACCAAAGAAACTAAAATAAAACATTTAAATATACTTACTTATGTAAAGCAGAATTTTTAAAGACTTATTGTTACTCAACAGTCACAAACTTTTTGAATCACCATTTCGGGCAAGTCTTACGTAATTAAGACCAACATTTAATAGAGTAGGCAACTTAATTCATACTCTCCAGCAGGGCAGTCTTTACGTGAAAGTATCGCCTACTCATATAACCGTTATGAAAATGTCAGTAATCGATTCTTTATTACAATTACTTGTTGTAACACCCGAGTCAATCTGTCTGATTCATCGATCCTTTATTACGATTTCTGTTTCCCAGTCCCACTAACCGAATCAAGATGTCAGTAATCGATTGCTTATCACGACATAACCCAAATCATAACAGTAAAACCCATACATCATATAATAATTGATTCTTTATGACGATGTAGTACCCAGTTGCGATATTTCAGTGCGGTATCTTGACAATCGATCCTTGATCACGATGCTAACTAACCCTGTGGCCCCCCGGTTGGGAGCCAGCATGACAACATTAAACAACGATCATCTAGACTCGGAGAGTCTAAGTATAAGTAATTAGAGGGGTGTCGTTTTAATCAAAACTTGCGTCCACTACAGAGGTTTAGAAGTGGCAGTAACATCGGGTTAGTGGCTAGTCGGGTTGTTAGAAACGTGACCATAAGATTTATCATTGGGATGTTGATCAGCAGCTTGCTATTGTAGTTGGTGTACCTCACGTCATCGTTTATTCTTACGCCACACAAAACCTGCGTGTATTACCACTCACCACAAAACCTTCGTGTATTACACTCACCACAAACCTGCGTGTATTACACTCACCCCAAACCTGCGTGTATTACCACTCACCACAAACCTGCGTGTATTACACTCACCCCAAACCTGCGTGTATTACCACTCACCACAAACCTGCGTGTATTACACTCACCACAAACCTGCGTGTATTACACTCACCACAAACCTGCGTGTATTACACTCACCCCAAACCTGCGTGTATTACCACTCACCACAAACCTGCGTGTATTACACTCACCCCAAACCTGCGTGTATTACCACTCACCACAAACCTGCGTGTATTACACTCACCACAAACCTGCGTGTATTACACTCACCCCAAACCTGCGTGTATTACCACTCACCACAAACCTGCGTGTATTACACTCACCACAAACCTGCGTGTATTACACTCACCCCAAACCTGCGTGTATTACCACTCACCACAAAACCTGCGTGTATTACACTCAACACAAACCTGCGTGTATTACCCCCACCACAAAACCTGCGTGTATTACACTCACCACAAACATACGTGTATTACACTCACCACATACATACGTGTATTACACTCACCACATACATACGTGTATTACACTCACCACATAAATACGTGTATTACACTCACCACATACATACGTGTATTACACTCACCACATACATACGTGTATTACACTCACCACATACATACGTGTATTACACTCACCACATAGGCCTACATACGTGTATTACACTCACTACAAAACCTGCGTGTATTACACTCACCACAAACATACGTGTATTACACTCACCACATACATACGTGTATTACACTCACCACAAAACATGCGTGTATTACACTCACCACAAAACCTGCGTGTATCACCACTCACCACAAACCTGCGTGTATCACCACTCACCACAGGGGCGCGTGCTTCCAATAACCTACTTAATGCTTGCACTTAGTCTACCAGAAATCGATAACCCGGTGTTTTAGTGGCACCACACAACCAACGGCAGGCCTGACATTTGATTGACAGCTGTCAGATCGCAGTGAGATAATGGCCTGGACCTAGTTTTGCAGCGGTCCTAGTGTTAAACGATCTAGATATTTGTATGCGTGTGTTGGCGGGATTAAGTATATTTTATGTATTGTTCTACCGGGTCTCTCGTGTTCTTACATTGTAGTTGTATCTAGTTGTTTGGTTGATGGAGCCAGGGGTCATCTACACATCCCTCAAACATTCGTGCATCGTACTCCAGCATCGCGTCTCTAGACAAAAAAAACTTTGCTCTCCAACCCCCCCCCCCCCCCCTCCCCTCTCATCATCAAGACATATTTGTATTTATTTTTGCCTTGAAGTATGTGTCCATTCGAATTACATAAAAATGTATTTCAAATAATTTATTTTAGTGCGGTTTTTGAGTTAAGTGTATCCGTGATTATAAATAGTATGTTCAAAAGTAATAGCATAATGAATAAGTTTTTATAAAATAGTATCGTATGTGCAATGT